AGCGGAGGTCCCTGGGACCACGAAGGAAGAAGAACGGAGAGTGGGACCCTACCCAGAGAAGCAGTTATGCCTGAGATAGAGGCTGAGCCAATGACATGGAGAGATGGAACAGCTGGGGACTTTAGACACAGAGAGGGAGAGGGGCTGTGTGCTGATGACTGGGGGGCAGGCTTGTAGGGTATACTCTTTGGTTGGTTGATGATGCATGGAGGGAATTGTAACCATGGCAATGAAATGATATACGATAGGATGAATGTAAAGCTAATGTTCTCTTTTGTAAACTATCACATAATTCACAATAAAACATAAAAAAGGAAAAAAAAAAACTTGTTGTGAATTGAATGAAGGTTTACAGAGCAGATCATCAGTTTTACATTCAGTACATCATAGACTTCTTTTCATTTCAGTGGTTGCAATCCCTTCAATGTGATATCACTTATTCCACTTCCTCCCTGTGACTATTTTTTCCCTTCTCCTTCTTTTCCAACTCTTCTGAAATTTGTCCTTAGGTCAGTGCTGACCTTTGGACCTTGAATGGTTGACTGTTCTATGCTGTGCATGTCTCACTAGTGTGGTTGTCCCCCATTTACTTATCTGCTGCTTGAGCCATGAATGTGACTTCAGTTCCAGACCTGCAGTGTGACATAGGGTCATAGTCTTAGGTTCCTCTAGTTTGTTGCTGATCATAACCCTGATCTTTTTCTTATAACTTTGAGGTTTGTTTCACATTTTGTCCCACTAGGACCTTCTCATATTATCTCTTTCAGAGCAGCTGGTAGTGGTAGTAAGGGTGCATCTAGTTTCTCTGGTGTCAGGATCACGGATACTGATGTTCACTGGTTCCATTGGTCCATTGGACTAATTGTTTCCAAGCATCTTCACTTTTCTTTTCTCTGCATAGGAAGAGACTGATAGTTGCACCCTAGGTTACTGCTGACAAACTTTTAAGATTTCAGTTGCTACTCACCAAAGTAGGATGTAGAACATTGTTTTTGTGGATTGTGTTATGCCAATTAATCATGGTATCCCCTGAAACTATAGTACTGAACTTCCAGGCCAGCAACTCATTCCCTTAAGATGTTTGGTAATGTCTGAAAAGTTTGTATGATTTTGTCCCCTGTGTACTCTACCATATTCATGGATACGTTGGCAGCAAAGTTAAATACTCATGCACAAAAGTCCTTTGTCATACCTTTATATATTTGTAAGTAGATTCCCACTCTTCCTCCCACACCCGTTCAGCCAGAGTGTCTCTAGATATTTAAGTGGGACCATACAATATCTGTCTTTTTGTGTCTGACATTCCACTTAGCATAATGTTTTCAGGGTTCATCCATGTCATAGTATGCATTAGGATTTCATTTCTCTTTCTGATTGAATGTTGTTCCATTATGCCACATTTACACCAAATCTATTTATCCACCAGTGGGCATTTTTATGGTGACCACTTTGGCCTTTATCCTCACTGTGTCCCTGGTTGCTACCATGGTCCTTTATGAAGATAGTGAGAAACAAAAGAAAAACCAAAGAAAGGTGTGGGACTATAAAGACCAAGATTAAGAAACATGGATTTGGCCTCTTACAACTCCACATCCCAACTTTTCCTACAGCCCAATGTATTCCAGACTCACTAGGCTTTAAAAGAGCCACTGGATAGTGCAAACAGTTACCATATGTGTCTGCTATCAAAAAGACTGGAAGTTCAAATCAAGCAGAGAGGCATATGAAGAAAAGCCTGGTGACTAACTGAGAGATTGGTCATTTAAAACGCTATGGAGCACAGTTCTACTCTGACACACATGGAATCACCAGGAGTCAGAGTTGACTAGATGGCAACTGTTAAAACTATTTTTGTTTTGTTTTGTTCTTATTTTTTAGTTTTCTATTGTGAATTGGGTAGTTTACAGAACA